CCGCCCGCCCGCCCTCCAACCTTTAAACTCCACCCCTCTGGCAGCAGCAGGTGATATGTGTACTTAAGAACTTAAAAACTTGGAAGCGAGTTTCGGTTTGCTTTTCGAGTTAAGAAGTTGACGCTGTGTGTGGCTGCATTAAAGTTTTACTTGAGGTCAAGTTGCCGGCGTCCCAAAGTGTTGACACAGCTCTCAATTTGTAATTTGTCCGACTTCACTAAGTGGGCGGCGTGGGCGTGGGCCAGATTATATTTGCATTAATGCGACACACATCAAAGTAAGCAAATAATAAAACAAACAAAAAATATATGTATATATATATATGGAACTTCTTGTGCTTGTCTTGAGCAAAAGTTTTCGTGTCGAAAACTTAAAGCCGTGCCAACATTTGGCGGCCGAAGCCAAAAGAAAACACTTTTCCACTGAGAAAGAACTTCCCCCCCGTTTGTGTATGTAAATATTATTAGAACGGGACGCAACAAAAGTTCAAACACATTTAAATTAGGCCTGAGCGCATTTTGATGATGCTTAAAACTTTTACAACAATTCTCCCGCTCACACGCATATCTCTCTCTCTCTCTTTCTCTCTCTCTCTCTGTCTATCGTTTGCTCCTTGTTGCAAACTTTTTGTAGACAACATTTTTGCTTGTTAGTTTTGTTGTTGTTGCAGAAACATGTTCCCATCATTATAATGTGTAATGCTTTATTACAGTAACTTTTTTACGCAACATTTTGTCGTAATTTTATTTTATTTGTTTTTTTTTTTTTTTTTTGCACTCTATAAGAAAAACAAAACTTCTTTAAATAAAGTTGTCAAGTCAGCAAATTTTGTGTTTTTAGGTGTCAGGCAGTGTGAGAGTTTGTTTTCCTTTTTGTTTGTTTCGTCTTCTTAAAGATATGCATAATGGAATTGTATTAAATTAGCCAAACATGTGATTTGCATAACAAAGTCCGCGAGAGCAGGTTGCTCAAAATAACAGCTGGACTTGACTTTAAACTAGCTTTAATCAAAGCTACTCTCTGTCCATAAATGGCTGAATGTAAAGCTGTAAAACTCTAAAGCGACATAATAATTTCGTCTTATCAATTCTGCTTTTCAGTCAATACAATTAATCTCATTTGAAGTTTTCACCTTGGCCTTAAGATTTCTTTGGAGGTAAAAAGAAGTAAAGCTCTTTTCAAACTGAAGCTCATATGTTAAGCTTATTAACGTCTTCAGTAAATACTATATATATATATATATATAAATATATATATACTGCTTCTTGAATCATGTGCGGGCATCGCACAAATCCGCAACTGAACTGTAAATCGCTTATAGTTTTTTGTATTGCTGAAACCACATCAAAAATATATGAAAGACAATTGCCACAGCAACATTTAATACTGTCAAACAGAAATTGGCAGCATCGTGTGGCCCCGTTGACATTTTGTTGTCCCAAGTTGAATGTAAGCGGCTTTTACTTATCGTTTGACATTTTTGTGACTTGTGCAATACACACATACACACACACACCCAAGCACACAATCCTGCTACCCCCTGCAGGAAGGCCAGTAAGTCCGCTCTGCACTTGGGCACTAGCAATTTTCATGTGCTGTGAGGCAGCTGTAAAAAATAGACCACAACAAAAAGGCTGCCAACTTCAGCAGTCAAGTATGTCACCATGTGTATAGAACTATAAACAGAACAAATACTGAGAATATTTCTCAGAGTATTAAAATTGAAATTGAAGAAAGCAAGTAAAATAGTTAAAGGCTAAGAAAATCTATAAATTGAGGAGCTTTTAATAATTCCCTTTAATGAGCTATTTAGCGAATTACGCTAAATGGGCAAGTAAAGGGAAAGCTCCTCCTCCCTATTTTAACAGCTTAAGCTTTAAATTTGAAAGAACTGTATAAAAAGACAAGACATATTACTTCATTTTTAAATGAATAACTTATGAGAATGATGTCTAGCTGCATTCTCGACCCCAGCTAGAAATCATTTTTGCACTTCCTTTTCATTTAACGCTAGGCTTTTCTATTTATAAAAAGAGAAAGTAAGCTGCCTCGCTCTCGCTCTCGCTCTCTCTCTCGCTCACGCTGTCTCTTTCATTTGGCCGCTTAATCAGCGCTTAAGTAGGAACTCGGAAAAGCCGCCAACCGTCAACCTTTCCGCACTTGCGCTCACTTGAACTTAATTTGGTAAGTGGTTTGAGCTCGCGTCCCCTTACCCTCACCGTCTCCTACTACTGCCTACTGCCCTTTTCCTGGTGGGCGCGTCATAAACGTCTGGTAAAACAGTGGAAAACACAACGGTAGCAACACACGGTAGTGGAGTGGGAGTGGGAGCGGGAGCTCAGAGAGAAAAATATAACAACAATATGGAGCGAACTCTAGGCTGGGGCTGGCAATAAAAACGCACTTGGCTTCACTCGAGGCAGCTCTCCCTTCAACAGTCTGTCGACTGGTTACCACTTCCGGCGGCAAAAGCAGTTCCTGCCACAGGTAACCAAAGGCAACCCCAAAATGTCTGGCTTGAGAGGCGAGTCGAGTCGAGTCGAGTTGAGTTGAGTTGAGTTGAGCGTTGAACCAGCGTCTGGGAGCAACATATGCAAATTTAATATTTTTATTAAAAAAGTTTTTTGGACCACACAAAGAAGCACCAGACGAGGAGACAGCAGCACCACCGCCACCACACACTTCACAAAGGATGGGTTGCAAGAGAGAGAGAGTGAGAGAGAGAGTGACAGAGAGAGAGAGAGAGAGAGAGAGAGTCTATGTGTGTGTGGCACTGTCGCTGTTTTGATAGGGAAGCGAATTAAGTGCCGCGGTTCGGGCAAGTTTTTTAAAACATTTTGCTCCCTCTCTGTCTTCCTATAAAAACAAGTTTTTTCTTCATGCAAAAATATTACCCGTGTCCCTTGCTCAACCCTTTACCCAGCGACCCGCTCTGCTGAGTTTGTTTTGTTGCTCAGTTCGCTTTGTTATTGTTGGCGCTGTTTGTATTGTTAGTCAGTTTTCAGCTCCTTTTCTTGTAGCCCCACTAGCTCTGCTTCTTCTTTTCATTTTTTCCCCATGCATGGGGAGTTTGTACAAAATTTAAACTCGCAAGCAAAAAGCTTTTCCCTTGAGCTAAATCTAATTGTGTTGTCCTGGATACCTTAATGCTACCGATGAATGTCTGCTATCTGGAAGATATCCTGAAATCGAATCGCCTTGTGCTTTGAGTACGATCTAAGCTAGGGTTAAGTTATCTAAACTTAAATTATCTGAATCTGTAAGAAAACAACTAAAGAGAAAAGCATCGTTGTAGTTCGTTACTTTTATTATCTTCACACACTTCGAGTGCTGCTTTGTGGCATGCCCCAACCCTTATTTATTATTAATTTCAAATTGAATTTGCATTAACATTACATTTTCAATTTGGGGCTGGCTCCACAAGCCGCAAGCCCGATTGAAAAATATATTTTAAGCGATGTGAAGACAACTTTCACAGATCCCAAAAGCGAAGAAGGACATGCAGGACCTTCATCAACATTTAAGGTAATGACAACAGAAATGGCCCATAACAATAATGTGAATTTCTCCTTAACCCGAATGTGCTGCTCTGTATGGGGCCATAAATAAAACAAACGACACAAACGATAACCACAAATTCCATTAAAAAGCCCATTCTCCATTCGATTCATTGCTTCATTATGATGTGCTAGGTAGAGTAACTACCCTCCCTGCAGCCGGCACCATGCCCAGAGGACTAAAACTAACCACCTAGCAAATGTGTCTACAGATAACCCAAAACCTAAACAGAGTAGTTCAAAATTATGTCACAGCTCTTTGGTTTGAACCAACCCCCTCCCCCCTTTCCATTCACCTGTCTGACCTCTGATACCCCCCACCGCGCAGACCACTCACCTCAGCGGGGTGGTTGGGATTCGTTTGACCTTTGCTTTTGAATAAAGTGCTGAAAAAAAAAAACAAAAACAAAACAACGAATTGTGCACAAAACAACCGAATCGAAATGTTGGATCCCGAGCTCGGGTTCTGGTTCTGATTCCAGCCACACACAAAAATTTGCTTTTCTATTCTCAGGCTGCGTTGACATTCCCCGCTGTGTCGCTTCCCCCCACCGCCCCCTTATTCCCCCTTTCAATTTCGTTCGTCCTTTCGGCGGGTTTTGCCAGCTCTTTATTCGCTCTTTATTTTCCTGTTGTTCCAAGACCTTGTGACTTGTGCATAAATAAATTTTCGCATGTTGGCAGCACATTTGGCTGGCTGACTTCACGTCTCATCGTGTTCCACTATTTTCCTTTTGCTCTACGATTTGAATTTCCGTTGTATACCCTCACGAAAGGCATTAAAAATCTGTGGTGACTTGTGTAACGTCTATAAGGGAACTTTGTGCAGGTAGCACATATGTCTAAATCGTTCGAAATTAACCATTCCATAATATAGCTGCCATTAGCACGATTCATCGAAAGTGAAGAATCTTCTTTTTCTATAAGAAAAATGGGTCGAACGGAAAAATAATAGAAATCTCCAGGGTTTCACATATCTGTCCGTATCAGATCGACCGACTATATCGTTTCTCACAAGGCCGATAATCGATCTTAATTAAAGCTTTTGTATATAGGCACGTCTGCTTTAAAAGGGCATTTAATATTCGGCGTGCAGTTCCTTTTTTTTGACCCGCCCCTTCTCAAGTTATAATAATGTTTTTCGGACGTAATTACACTTTAGCTGTGAGCATGCTTAGGTTTTAAACTGTGTCACCGGCTCTTTAGTTCGTTTTCTTTTCCTGTTTCGCTAAGTGTTACGAGTCCAAGTTCTATGCGCCGCGTAATGGAGGGACTGGGACTAGCTGTACAACGTCAAGCGTTGATTGATTGATGGAACTGTGCCATACTTTGACTTGGGTTGGGGCAAAGGGTTGACCTATTGGTGGGAAAATTGAAAAACTAATACAGTAATGGATATTCGGCACATTTTCTAATCATATATTATTTTCTATCTATTTGCAGGTAAGCTTCCATAATACAAGAATCATATAAATAATAGAAATAAAACAAAACTGAGTGAGTATCACGATAATTTTAAATGGATTCCCGGAAGTTTCCGTTAAATTTGTTTTGTTGAAAACGAGTTTGACGGCAAATAAAAGAGTTTAAAAGAGTTAAAGGCACAATTTAAAGCTGGACATTGCAAACCTCAATTGAAAAATTATATTGCTATGGTTACCCCCGAAAAATAAGTAAATAAATAAATAAAACACAAAGAATTCTAGAACATTTGTCTGCCTGCAAGGTCTCAGCAAGCCTTCTGCTCGCTCGGGTCAAGTATATGTTACACTTTAGCAGCTGTTCCCTCTGCTCCCTAATGCCCTGCTATCAGTATGTAACCATCTGCAAGAAAGAGAGCGAGAGAGGGAGAGCGTCCCACAGTCGGCGCTCGAGCGGAACGGACAGACCAGAAGGCTGCAGCAACAGCAATGTAGAAATGTCTTCTGGACTTGCAATTGGCGCGTTACGCTTCAAGTGTGGCAACTGTTTGTGGGGGAACTGACCTACAAGCGGCACATGAACTTGCAACTTTTGGCAAATGAGTTGCCCTCCCTAGCTACCTACCCCCTACCGCTCGCCCCTATCCACCGGCTTGACAGTTTGATGCAGTTTGATGCCAGCGAATGGGCAGCGAAGCGTCACGGGCAACGAGTTCCCAAATGTAATTATTGGGCTGCGCAACAACAAGAACTTGCAATCAAGTGGTAACAAGTGTTGTTTTGTAGCTGCTGTTGTTGCTACCATAAAACTGGGCATTGTGATTGTGGTTGGGGGGTGGGCTTAATAAAGCCACCAGGCTGGGGCGGTACAAGCAACTGTTGCTGCAAGAACTCATAAATTTGAACACTTGCTCGACTAGAGAAAACTAAATAAGTTGTTTGGCAACATTAATGCGTGTGTGTGTGTATATTAAGTTGGTTATCAATTTGTAGAGAAATGGAGAGGGAGGCATAAATTCCATGTTTATTTCGTGCCTGGACTTGCCTTAATGCAATAATAACGTATATTTTATAGACCCAAAGTTTGCCTCACACAACCAACAGCTGCGCGCGTGTGCGTGTGTGTGTGTGTGTGTGTCTTAATTTCACACATTTACACAGCACTTTTGTGTCTCATTTTTCTTCGGGGCAAAACTTGCCTACTTTGCAGAAAAAAGAAAACGCAAGAAAAAGAAAATGAGGCGGAAGTGGGTGGCGTTGGGTTGGGGTGGGCTCAGCGTAAAGTATGCGACGCGTAGGCCCAGCGACAACAACTTTTGCACGTACGCTGACTTGTTGCCCACAAGTGCGTGTGTGTGCGTGCGTGTATGTGTGCATTATGTGCGTTCTGATAAGAATCATTGCGTGTGTGTGTGTGTGCGCGCGCGTAGCAAATTGAAATAAATCTTGACAAGTGCGCTGCGTACATTGCTTGCAGCTTGAAGCAAAACGAGTTTCTGGCCCCCAACCAGACGACGCGCCAAATTAATAACTAGGCAGCAAGACGTCACAGCCGCCCGCTGCCTTTCCCCACGCATCCACCCATCCGCTAGATTAATTATCCCTGGAAGGGTGTGTGTGTGTGTGTGTGTGTGCGCGCGTCTCCCTCTGATATATTTGAGCACGTAAATTGGCTGCTTTTGGGACAGGCAGAGCCTAGAAAAAGTGAGTTAATAATTTAAAAACAAATGAAAGCGAACAAAAATAACCTTCTACTCATTTGCGCAATACAGACATCAAGTCTCGGACAAGTCTTGGGGTATTCCAATTCTCCGTGTTCACAATTACAACAACTGTTTGTTAAAGATAAGCAGCGCGGGCACAAAAGTTTATTTATTGCATTGTTGACTGTGAGTGGGCAGTATTTCTAAGCCTCGGTATTATGTTCACAATGCCACGGGAAATTCAGAGTGGGCGTAACAATTTAGAATATTCTATGCTACAAAAGCTTTTACGAACACGGTTCACTGGAGCACATTTTTTTTGTAAAAGTCTTTTGATTTTCAATCTTACATTTTTGCAATATACAATGCCCGGGTCTGAGTTGCTTTAAAGTATGTTCTTGTTTAGTATCTATAATATTATGTACTTACCCAAAATTTCACAAACAAACGCCCGACTATTTATGGCCATCTTTTAGTAAAGAACGCAGAACTTTTTATTTACATATCCCTAAAAAAAACAAAAGCGAGCGGGATATTAATTTAGAGCAAGAGTATAAAATAAATAAAAGTTAAATTGATTGCAAACAAAATAAGCTCATAATCAAAGCACACCCCAAAGTCTGACTTGAATTCATGAGAATCGCATAGTAGGGCTATATTAAAAATAACATTTTTTATTTCGTGCGCAACGCGGCGGTTGAGTTACCCTCACCCCTTCTCTCTCCTGTCCCTATCGAATTCTGCCCCCTTCATTCTGTCATCTTTGCATTCTAAATGGTTCTATATATTCTTTATATCAAAATCAAATCTAAACTTATTACAAATCCACCAACACGCAAACGCGACGCCTTTATAAATTAGCTTACGCACAATTAAAATTCAAGTCCCAAATAATGTTATTTACGAAAAGAAAAGCAGTGCGTGAGGTTATGCCCACAGATAGAAAAAAGGAAGAGCAAGAGCAGACGCCAGAAGTTGATGATTACTCACGGGCAGACGCAAATCAACGCAGCTTCGAAGCAGCCCACCTTCCCAGGTGGGTGGCTAATTAAATGACAGCGACGAATGCGGGGGCAAAATTAACCTTTAATTTTTGATAAACAAGCTCGAGAACACACTCTAAAAATATGCAAACCGAATGAATGAATGCAAATGAAGTGGAGCCCACCAGCTCTAGCTGACAGCCAGAGAGACAAAGCGAGAGACAGAGAGAGAGAGGGAGAGAGGGGGAGACGGAATGCCAATGCTGCTCAGCAGGTGGCGGTGGCAGGGAATAACCAAAAAAAATATTGTAAATAACGTTGGGGTTGGGGAAGGTGTGGGCAAAGCGCCACGCAGCTTCCGGTGCTCTCGGCAGCCGTTTACATAATTTCAATATGGCGGCTTTTGTAGGCGCGCGCGTGGCCAGCAGCCGAAACGGCCACTTAAAGGACATGCCAGGACCAGCCAGCAGCATCCCCGGCACCAGCCGGAGGAGGCTGTTGTTATGGTAGGTAGGCTGGCATTTTTCATTGTGCCGCCGCGCAGCCAGAGAGATGAAAACGTAACAATACAAAAATTTGTGTTTATGTTTTACTTGATTTTTGTTTTCCTCTACCCTTAACGAGGGTAGCATCAATTCTAAATGGAGTATGTTATATGTTAAGGGAAGCACTTCGTGCACGTGAAGCTGAATTGAAAACTGAGCAATGAGGATGCGTATTCGAATCACATATACGGTTGATGACTTGTGATCAATTTAATCAATTAATTACTTCAAATTTTTATTCGGAAATAATAAAAAAATACCTCCAGGCAAGGGTATTGCTTCTTCGTCTTAACGTAGTTTCTCTTATTTTTGTTGTTATTATTGTTTTTTTTTTGTTTTTATTTCATTTTTATTATTTCGTTGTTATTTGTTCTCATCCTTCAGGGCAGCTGCCCACTTTTGACACTTATTTTTGACAGCTTAAGGACATTTGAGGGTCATGCACTTAACACGAGTGCGAGGTAAAGGCAGACATTGTTGGCGAGGGCAGCGGGGAGTCAAGGGTGCGGTCGGTGAATTTCAAGCTTTATACACAAATTTCGAAATTGTTTGCATGTCTGAGATTTGTGGCAGTTTATTATGAATATATATGCGACCAGTCTGTCCCCCAACCTTTCACTACAAAGGGACCTCGTCTTGTATGCCCATGAGGCGTGGCTGGAGCCAAGCAAACCACATTCATTATGAATGAGTGGGTGCCTACCATACCCTTCCCCTTCCTAGCCCATTTTTGGGTTACATGCATTTTGTGTGGACGCAGGCGACTATTTACTAATGGGAGTTGGGTTAGTTTTGCTGCCCCTGTTAGCTGACGACTTTATTGAACCTATGCAAAGCAACTGCTGCCTGTAATTAAATTAAATTATGCTCTTGCAAAGGCAGGACCCACCCCGGAACTGGGTGCTTGGCTTCCACTATTTGCGCCTGTCTACCCCGTCTGGCATTTTTCGATGCTTGTCACATTAAAATTTAGTGGTGCTTTTAAGTGCCGGTAATAAGATATTTTGTATGCTTCTGGGCATTTTGTAGAACACATCAGGCACAGCCTCAGCGCCATGTGATCCCACATCCCAGCACTAGTCCACTAATGTGGGCAGCAGAGTGTGTGACAAAAGCAGTTTGCATAATTTAAAAGGCCCAAAAAGCAACTATAACTTTTGCCTTGCCAAAGATGTTGTTCAGTTGAATTTGTGCCGAGTGGTCGGCCAAAGATGTTCGAGAACTGGGTTTTGGGTTACAGAGCGGCATGCTTAAAGTATTTAACATTCGTGTTCACAGTTCGGTTTACAAACCACAGAAAAGGGTTGTGACACTTTTGGCATTACATGAGAACAGCTGCCTAATGTTACCCGAAATGCAGATGGCCATCAGAGGAACGAAATAAATTCCTAGACTGCTCTAATTAAGGGGAAAATTTAAGGGTAAGGGTCCGCAAAAAATAAAGTAAGCTTTAAGCTGTTATTATTGAAAGTAGGTAAAATTTCTCATGATTAATCTTTCGTGTGCTTTAAAGGCACTTCTCAAAGCTCTGTGTAGTTTCAAGGTTATTTGAGCTTTAACTCATTTTAATTAATTTCAAATACTTTTTAGCTGCTTCCCACAGTTATTCGTGCGTAACCGTTTTAGCTATGGAAATGGTCGGCAAACCTTTCCATTTTTAAAAAACTTAAATTCTAAATTTTCATTTTAATATATTTTACATTCAGCTTTTACATGCTTTTAAGCAGCTTCCCATGTTTTTGTAGTTGGTAGAGCTTTCGATTTTTTATAAACCCAAATTTTATATTGTCATTTCCATTAATTTCCCATGCAGCATTTAAGCTACTTCCCAAAGCTGTTGGTGTGTTGTAGTTGGCAGAACTCCCAACTTTTAATAAGACTACATTTTACATTTTTATTTCAATTAAGTTCACATGCAGATTTTATGTGCTTTTAAGAAGTAGCAGAA